CGAAGACTACAACTGGTGAAATTTTGATTTTTTTCTTCCCCTAGATGCGTAATTTCGCGTGACGCAGCCATGGCAAGAGAAGGAAAAAGAAAGAACAAAGGAAAGAACATATTGAAGGGGAAGTTCGCCCTAAAGTGAATACTTCACAACCTGTAGCGAAAGATGCACTGATTCCAATGGTGAAGGTCCCAGGTTGATCGGAGCAGCCGTTTCCGAGTTATACAAGCTTGAAGTTTGCACTAAATTTGGTGACATCATGATGACGTCAATAACTTGCCCAGACCAGGCTGGGTTAATGACGTCAGAGAGATAGACTTTGTATGGGAGTAGATGGGGAAATTTCAGTATTTCGGCTCTCCATTGTCCCAAAGAAGTCGGATCTTTTTTATAATTCGGTATGGCACATATGGCACCCTACCGGCATCCCGACTGGAAACAATTTCTAGTATGAAATTCATTGTTGAAGAGAAACAAGGAAGAAATTGGTTTTTCCCATCTACTCCGGAAACACGGCAAGGAAATTGATTGTATAAGCAGGGACGTCGCAAGGTATTTTAGAGTGGTACTGTGAGTCACCTGCAGTACGATTTACTCGTGGGGTTGGGGTGTCTCCTCTGACAAATTTCAAAATTTAGAGCCCAAATCAGTGCCTTTTGTTAATTCACAGTGCACCTGGGGCAAAGAGTGGTGCGGTCAAAACCGTAGTGACCGCAGCGTGTACGACGCACCTACACTAAGCGATGTTATCTGATTGATGCTGGCCGTCCCGTGTCGTGGTGTGCTGCTGCTGCCGCTGCTGCTCCTGTTGCTGCACAGGTCCCGTTAACATCTTTGCCGCCGAAGAGCATTTTCTGGTGGCATTCTGCTTGCTTGCCATCAATCGTAGCCGAGAGGTGTGGTTTGGCTGTTGTCAATTCAGTTCTCAGCTGTGCAGTGGTTTTGGAATTCTCCTCCTTCTGCTTCTCGAGAAGATCCGTTTGTTTCAGGTCACCAAACTGCTTGTTCGTCCTTGTGAGATGTCTAGATATCTTTTTTATATTTTCTTTGGGATCTGTCTAGTGCAACTTTTTGCTTTTGCATTTTTTAATGGCTTTTTCGGGCCACCCCGTTTTTTCTGGGCAGTTATCCCATTCTTGTTAATGGCTGCGTTCACATCATTATTATTACAGTGCATTTCAAAACTATAGACGCGTAGGGTTTTTGAAATATTTCAAATTTGGCTGGAACCTTTTGAGAATAGTTTTCGGAATATTGCTCAGGATCGCTCCACAATTACTCTCATATAGTTTCTAAAGGATTGGATAACAGACGCCCAATTTGGAAATATTTATGCACAAAGTGATCACAGATTTTATGTGGTATAGATGCTGGCATAACGGTTTTTGCCTAGGTACGCGTCTATAGTTTTGAAATGGACTGTACATTCGTACCGGCACACCTGCAACACAATTATTTGAAAGAAAGAAAAGTGCATTTTCTTTGTGTTTCAGTTCTGTTTACTAGTATTGAATATTTTTACTCATGTCAGGCATTCCTACTCGAATTCATAGTATTGGAATCCATCTGGTAGGAATTCCCTTAGGTCTTAGTGTGCCCATGCTTTTCGCAAGCAGTCTTGGCATAATTATCTCCTGGCCCTGACCTGAACCTGTCACGGCTAGGCACCGGCGGATTTTGCCGGCACAATTATTGGCATAATTTGGTGGTTGAAAGTTTGGAGCATAATTTTTGGCATCCTTTCGGAGGTAGGAGCATAACTACACGATTGTATTACAGGTGCAGTTCTACTACAGTTGAACATCGATTATCCGCACATCGACTTATCCGACCATTCGATTATCCGTAACAGTTTTTTTGGGCGCACGTGCCGTAGAGTACGCACTGTGCATGTAGTGAGCCATTCAAAAAATACGAAAATTTTGAAAAGTAGCACTCTATTCTATTTACAATGTACATGTACATGTATTTACAGTGTGTTTTCTTATCCGGAACATTTGCCTTATCTGAACACCGCCTGACAGTTGTCTGCCCAGAGGTGGTCGGATAATCGATGTTCAACTGTACCATGGCTACACAATTGTATTACAGGTACAGTTCTACTATGTAGGCTACACCGTATTGGGTACAATGTTTATGTACATGTAACTTGTCAGCGCTGCTGGTCTGCATGATAAAGGGTTCAGAGGTCATACACGTAACAGACAGTGTTTTCAGTGAAAAGCAGGGTAGAAATCATGACAATAGACATCCTTAGCAAAAGTACGATAACGCTAACTTTTACGGTACTCACTCCCAGCCGTGACAAAAGACGTTATCGGATAACGGAAAAACGTTACAGAGCTCAAAATAACGGGCCGACGTTCGTTATGGAAATTCTGCAAAAAATGCAAAAACTCGCATTGTTTTGTAACTGGCGGGAGATAAAAAGCACGTCGTGCAGATCGAGAGTCGAGATTGCTTCCTCTTGTGACATTTAGCTTTTTGGCGAGTTTTGCCTTTCAGTTGACAATTTCTGCTTCGTGCCTTTCTCCCTCTATCCCATCTGGGAAACAAAGGACCAGTTCCACGGCACTCCTGAGGAAGAAATTCATCGGCCTCTCCCAGACGTGCTGGAGCTGGAGAACCCTTACAGTCTTCGGTGCTGCGTTTAGGAAAGGGTTTCCAAGGACCTGGGAACAGCGAAAACTCATGTTCGCCGTGCTTTTGCTATTCCAGAGTAAAAGACCTCGCCAAGGTATTCTTTCGGAACGACAGCAAACTAATCCCTGGTTCAAAATTTTGAATTTCCCGCATCTGTTTCCACGAAAATTCATATCGCCATGGTTGTCACGACTACTTCGTCTCAACTATAACGTACTTTGTGCTAAGGGAAAGTCAGCTTGAACGATCCGAAGTACGGAAAGGTTTGCGTTTACGTTAGCGTTTTTTTAGCTAAGGATATCTATCACATTGTTGTATGCTCGAACTCGTCTTCCTTGTGGCAGACGGGATATCGACGGGTAGTCCGCAAAATTCCGCGTACATGTACAATGTACATTTGCATGATAGGAAATCATGACATTTGGATTTTTGCAGCCATGGTTGGACTACAGGCTATAATCTTTTCGACAACTCCTAATCCTATTGCAAAATTAATATCGATGCCGGTGTATGCACTTGTACTTGGATCTAGGGGTCAAACGGGTGTACCTTTAACTAACGAACTGGTAATTTTCTTAACGGGCTGGTTAACTGAGCAGACCTGAATACTGACAAGAATGTTATTCAAAGAGGTTTCTTATCTCCGACTCGGCATCGCTTCGCAGGCGTCTTGGGCGACATCAGCATCGCCAGCTACCTCTGATTGCTCCTCTCCACTGCCTGTCTACTCTCTATCGCCTGGAGTGTCCTCACCGTCATCTGTGTGGCTGAAAAGACTATGGCGATACGCATAAAATTACACTTGGCCATGGAGTTGGTTTTTCCGAGGTGACTGAGGAGGCAGGTTTGGCCCTCGACTCTTTGGGCGATCAAAGTTCGTTGGAATCCGCAAGAAAGGGAGCAAAGGACAGGACGTTGCTGATGCTGGGGCTCACGAAATGAAAACACATCATTTTCGACTTGCAAAACAAACGTCGTTGGCGCGAAAATTCGACATTTTGATGTTCGGCAAATGACCGAAGAACGCCGAACCGAAATTCGGAATGCAAAACCTCACTAACAATAACCCCTACTATACTACCCCAGCCCGTGCGCCAGTTCAGAAAAAGTCGTCTAAAAGGTGCACTTTTATTTTCCAGATTTGCCAGTTTTTGCACTTTTCTCAAGATATCGCGAGACGAATGGTCAATGGCGTCACCTTCGTCGTCCTTTAGTTTTCTCTCTCTTCGGCTCAGATCGTTGTCGAAATCCAACCTAATAGTACTGTTGTTCTCTGCCCTAAGTTTTGTCCTTGGGGATAACAAAATAACGAGAAGTTGAGTTCTCGCTCGTCGCTTGCGTTTTCGTTATGTCGCTGATATTTTGGTTGGCCCTCAACCTCCTCCTCGTTGCCTTTTTTCTTTGCTCAAGAAGAAGTACAAGTAGGTTTAGAATTGTTTTCAGGTTGTACGAACATTCCTGTGGGACGCCATCATGGAGTCTATTGCTGAGATTTTTGGCAAAGCGCTTGAACATGCTTTGCGTCCCATTCAGGGGCGCTTGGACGCGATCGAACGCCGTCCTGGTCCTCCACAGCTCCGCAGGCTATCGCCCGGGCAGAGTGCTCTTGGCTCGCGGAGTGTGGCGGATGCAGACGGTGCGATGCCGGGCTCAGCTTTGGCTGCTGGTAGTTCTACGCCCTCTTTGGGTTCGTTTGCTTTACCTGGCTCAGCTTTGGCTGCAGGTTTGTCGGACTCCCAGCGTTTATCGCTATCTGCGGGAGATCCCGTGTCAAGCGCTTCGCGGACAGTCGTTCGGCCTGGCTCAGCTTTCGCTGCAGGCTCGACGGAGCACACGCGCTTGTCGCTCTCTACGGGAGATCCTCTGTCAAGTGCTTCGCGCACAGTCGTTCAGTCTGGTTCAGCTTTAGCTGCCAGCTCGACGGATCTCGTGTCCAGTGCTTCGCGCACGGTCATTCTGCCTGGCTCATTCTGCCTGGCTCATTCTGCCTGGCTCATTCTGCCTGGCTCATTCTGCCTGGCTCAGCTTTCGCTGCATGCTACAGTTAAACTCCCTTGATAACGTTTTTGGGGACGGTTGGCGGTTTTCGCGCTCTGAGGATCAGCCTCAGCGGCACTCCTACAGCATCCCTTAAGCAGTGACCAAACCTTTGTGTACCTTACGATGTCACTTGATGAGAATCTAGACCTAGCCCTGGTGGGATTCAAGGACCTAATTGACCTGGGCGAGCGGAAATCAGTAGACCAACCCTCAAGCCTTTCTCGCCCGGAACTCGTCAAAGAACTCCGGAAGATGGGCGTGGGAGTGCTGCCGCAGCCAGCAAGTCCAAACGGTACGTTGGAACAATTGTCTAGCCTTGTATCATGTGTTTCAACCTTGTCCAAGGAGATTGTTATGTCGAGGGAAGATAGAGACAGCACAATGTTGGCCCTGAAATTGGAAATCCAAGAGCTGAGGCGTGAAGTAGTAGAGCTTCGTCAACAGAAGTGTTCCATCCCTGACCCCATACCACACACCGTACCCACGTACACATCCCAGCAAAACGTGGCCATGGGACCTCCAGCTGCGAAGTCCTACAGTAATACCGTACGCACCCAGCATGCTGCAACACCACAAGGTACAAGTCCAAGTAGTACCCAGACCCAGCCTGCCCAACAAAGCCCAATGTGTGCTGCATGCACCAGTGATACTTGTAGTTGTACAGTCCACGCAGCCGACACACAAGCAGGGGTCACTGGCATATGTAGTACAGAGCCAACACAGAACACGTGGAAAGAGGTGAACCATAGACGAAAAGGACGGCAGGACAAATTCACGGACAGCGTATCCAAAGCTCTGCGGGCTACTATAACCTCTCGGTACGTGAAGGAATCACCTAACACGGAACCTGCTGATCCGTGCGTCCTGACAGGGGTGGTGCCCATCAACAAACTTGTGCTCTACGTTGGAAGCATCAACAGCGGTTGCAACGTTCACTCCATCAGAGACTGGTGCGAAGCGAGGGACGTGGAGGTATTAAATTGCTCCGTCATGGAGTCCAAATACCTTGGCACATCGTATGCCAGATTCACTGTGGCTGCAGAACATGAAGAGCGTGTACTAGACAGAGCCTTCTGGCCCGAAGCCATCAGCCACTCAGTACGCAAGTGGCGTTTTGCGGACAGCCCCAAAGTGACGAAGCCAGCTTCCAATGCGTAACCTTTATCCCTCCTCTTCCACTTCAACCCCTGCGTCTCTCAACGCTCTTGCCCCACCTTTCTTCCCCCATTCTGTACATGCTGCTACTCACCGACTTACAATCTGTGTCCTTAATGCTCGCTCCATAGCAAACAAGTCTGGCGAACTCATTCAAATCTGTGAAGATCACACACCCAGCGTAGTATGCATCACAGAGACCTGGCTAACTCCCACACAAGCTTTCCACATGCCACACTATGAATGCTTCCGTCGAGACCGACCTGTTTTAGAAAATAGACAGAACCGTGACCCACACAGGGGGTATGGAGGAGTTCTAATCTTAGTTCGTGAAGGTCTGTGCACTTCCATTGATCAGCTACCGGATTTTCAGCAACCGGGCTTGGAAGCGCTAGCACTTCGGCTTACACTCGCTGAACATCAGCTTGTCTCACCTTCTGACCTGCCAACAACCCACCTAACAGTAGCCTGTATCTACCGTGCTCCTTCCCCGTCGACGGATGACTTCTCGACTTTTCTCGACCGCCTCCAAATAGCCCTGCAATCAACACAAAGGAAGCCCGAAGCCCTTGTGATATCAGGCGACTTCAACTGTAGGTATTCCGGCTGGTGCTCAACTGACCAAACGGATGCACAGGGTCTGAGTCTTGACAACCTCTTCTCATGCTATAATTTGACCCAATCGGTAACCTTTCCCACCCACCTCCACTCGAATGGACTTGGCAGCTGTCTAGACCTTATCGCGAGCAACATCCCTAACCAACTCAACCACATTCAACACCTGGCTCCTCTTGGCGCATCAGACCATGCCGTCCTGCTGGCTGAGTTCTCCTCCTCAAAGTCTTCCCCCACAGCAGCCAGCACCTGCCGTAGCCCACCATCTACACAAAAATACAATGTCCTGAGTGCCACGGATAACATGTGGAATGCCATGAATGTTTTTCTCGCAGCTGTACCCTGGTCTCAGGTCCTTGCCTCCCACTGCATCGACACGGCTGTCTCCGCATTCACTGACATCCTTGAAGGTGCCTTGGACCTATATATAGGAAGATCCTCACCTCCTCGTCGGAAATCACGCCACAAACCCTGCCCCTGGATGAATCCATCACTGAAAGCAGCTATTAAAGTCAAGAGCGATCTCTACAGCAT